TTCATTTCATAGAAAATAATAAAAAAATAAAAACAGCAATAGTATGTAAGTTCATAATTAAAACTGCTGTACGAATGGTTGTAGGATTTATTGTGTTTGTTATAAAGTAAAGTACGATTAAATCGGAGGAAAAAGTTTTATTTTTGGTTAAAAAAAAATGTATTTTTTAGTTTTGAGTCCTTTTAAAAACGTGTGACAAATATATTATTTTAAAAACTCGTTTAATTTTAGAGGACGTTGGGAAAAATAGCTTATATATAACAGATTTTACTTTTCTAAAATGACAAAAGGCGAGTTTGATATCACGAAATTATGCATTTGTCGTTTTATTTATTTGTTGATGCAATTTTAAAAGTAAACTTTGGAATTATTCGCATCTGTGTTTGATTTTCATTCAGAATAAAACACGATACAACCACAATCGGCTATAAGTTAAACTCGTGAATTTTAATTTTTTTTGTCTACACAACTGTCTTTAAAATTTATTTGTATTGATTAATTTATTTTTCAGCTCAAGTAAAGAAACACACGACGCATTTCAAATACAAATCGATCGATTTTAAATCATATCCGTTTCATAATTATATAGTTCCGCGCATGGGGTTTGTTAGGCCATTATTTATGGCGATGAAAATTTTTCCGTTTCGATTATTACACTATGTTAGAACGATAAACCGATTGGTCTTCGGACGTATGTACAATATGTAGGTGCTTAGCATTATGCACGTGCCTGTGTGTGTGTGTGTGTGTGTGTGTGTGTGTGTGTGTGTGTGTGTGTGCACTATGCACTGTGCAACAATAATTGACAAAACTGCACAGTCTTATAATACTATTATGATGCCGAACCGATAATGACGATGGAGTCATATTTCGCGAGCATTTTAGGTCAAAGATAAATAAAAACCGTTGAGAAACTTTTGTATTTTGACCGCTTGTAATGGACCTCCAGCAAGGGGGTTGTTTTTTTTTTTATTATTGTTCTATCTGCCGATTTAATGGACATGGTGTAAAATGTAATTTTCCAACTTGTTCTACATCATTATGAGATAGGGACCCGGTTAAACCTCGTATGTTCTGGGGTCGTTTAAAAGTTACTGGGCGCTTAAAAGACACTATTATAAAACTACCATGTTATTATAACATTATTTCGTAGACCCGCCAATGCTACCACCGCCGCTATACCATCAACGGTCACCACATGATGAACATATTTAAGACGTTTATTCGCACAACTCATATGAATTTACAAACGGTTTCGTTCCGGTAACGGAACTGATCTATAAAATAAAAAACATCGTTATAGCCTGCACAAGTCAGTCGTTTCTTCTCCGGATAAAAGGAAAAACCCCTTGATTCGTTTGCATAATAAAAAAACAGCACGCAATCGCGACTTCGACGAGTATAGTAACCAACGTTCTTGTGTAAACAAAAGCATTTAATTTGGGTTGTCAAATGCAGATGACGGAGCACTAAAATGTCTAACCGGAATAATATTATGCGTTTCACTATTTGCCATATTATGCCACGGTTAAACAATTGCTTGGTTGTATTTGAATGGATATTGTGTAAAAACAACAAAATAACATATTTAATGCATAGAATTTTATGTGAAACTTTTTTTTTTCAATGAATAGACACCGGAATGCACTGAGCAGTGATTTTCTATACAGTACGAACATGCAAGATTGAAATCGAAGGTGATTACATAGGCCTATAAAGGGTTGGACTGCTCGCATAGAGAAAGAGGTCCGAAAGTTGGAGAAGTTAGAAATAGACAGCGAAAAGTTTACTATTTCCGTGGAAGAAATATATTTAATTTAATGGAAATGTACGTCGGCTTAAAGGTATAATATATTAGTATGCAGTCGTGTGATTTGTATACGCGTCATTAGGCATAACACCAAAATATATTTTATTTAATTGTAATATTAATAGTTACACATATTCCTGACAACACGACCAGACGACCATGATAGGCATTCATATTCGAAAAAAAATTTTAAATTCTTAAAATTCATTTATTTTAAGGCCATGGATAATTGTTTGTACCTAATTACATAATCATCTTTAGTTATCCTTTTGATACAAAAAAGCCAAGTCTCTTAAATATTTTATTGTACTAAATTAATCAAAACGACGAGGATTACGTGAAGTAACTACTAACAAATACAATTTTATAAAAAATATAGGACGTTTAAGTATTCTAATTTAAATTTTAATTTTCGAGAACAGATAACAAGAGAACTCTCTTAACCTTGGCAACTAGAGCGCTTCTTGGCACACTCCTCAGATACACTCGACTTTACAAATTATTGTACATATGAGTTCAGCTTGTCAAATAAAAGTAAACATAAACTTGGTTTTTTTATAATATGTGCATGTGTGTTTTTTTAAATACTTTGTAACGATCATTATTAAAAAGGTTGTAAAGTAGCTACCTACCGCTATTAAGTATTCAATCACCCAATCATCCTAATACGATTTAATCCATTTTTTTTTTGAATTTGTATGTTTATCTACAAAAAATTTATGTTACCTATTCGCGCATTTATACAGTATTCAAAATTTTGAAACTTATATGGCTAATACAAAAAAATATTTATTTAATTGTTATACACATCAAACAGTACTCTGGTAGAAATAATTTCACCACATTAATCAAAGTTATAGGGGTTATCAATTTACATTATACATTTATAAAACTTTATTAATTTTGTACTTATGGATAAAAAAACATTTATTTTTTTATAAAACGTTTAGTGGAAATAAAAACTTTAAAGTATATACGTATAAATAAAAAATATAACATAATAAAATAAAATTGACTTTATATTAAATTAGTTTTTAATATTAAAATTATTCAATATTAAACTGTTATGTACAATGTATATTGTATATGTATATACTATTATCTTGATTTATAAACCTACTTATTTCATGTAGGTAGAGTATGTATTGATGATTTTTAATATCACAATTAATTTATGCTTCATTGTAATTCATGTATTTTGTATGAACATTTTACAATTTTACAATATTTAATATAATTTATTTTATTTTAAATACAACTTAAAAAATATAATTTCTGATTTTAATGTTTACCTGTATAATTACTTTAATAGGTACTACACTTCTGACTTGACACGATTATTAGGGGTAACTGGTTACTAAGTAATTAGGTTTACCACTTATCGAACTTGATCCACTACAGAAAATGTATGTACTTTTAAAACATTTTTTATTTGAAGTTTAAATTCAGAATATATTGTATTACATTTTATTTGATGTATTTATTTATGTTTAAAATCTTAATATTAATTTAATCATTTAAAATTTCAAGATTATAATCATTAAAATACGAATATCTGTTATTTAAAGTGATATTTAAATAATTTTGAAATTAATAATTCCTATTTTTTTGGCCATGATTAACAAAAATAACAACTGCAAAAAAAAACCATAATTAAAACAAAATTAATGTTCGTCGACCTGTTGGGAACGAGTTATGCAATTGTTATTGAAAAAATTAAATGTCAATAACATAAATGGATTTCAAATTATATAATAATAATATAATACAGGTATACCATATTTTATTATGTTCACATAGTGTTGGCTTATTGATATTATTTTTTTATACAAAATCAGATCATACATTTTATAATTTGTATATTATAGGTATACCTTATACTATTCTTAACATTATTAATTACATGTTCGCTGATGCTGAATTTTAGAGTATAATAGTATATTATATTATATATATGATATTATAAATACTAATCGGTGGTTTCAAAAATTGTGAATAGTTTATTTATCAACATAATTAATAAGTTAAATTGTTTTAATTTAATAATTTATCTTTTATATTTTTTTATGAGAAACATTTTGTGTAGGGCATTTTAGTATTTACTATCTTGTTTTACAACAAGTGACTAAAAACAAGTTGTCAAATCTAATGACAAACTAGACTCAATATAGGTTTTATAACTCTATAAGACATTATTACTCTGACAACTTAAAGAACTCCGCAGTTAAAAGAGAGTTATTTTGAAGGGCATAATCAATAGCAAAAAGAGTGAAAAATGATTTTATTCTAGCGTATATGTTATGCATATTAATTATTGTATAGTAATTAGTTAGTCCACAAACGTATACAATTGTATATATTCGTATTATTCTTGTGTTTTTAGTTAAAAAAATTATCATAGCATAAATTGGTGTTTGTATACTCGAGCAATAAATTAAAATTAAATAAGTGCTATAAGAATCGAAAACACACAACGATTGTGATTTCTTAATTATATTAATATCAATATTACTCAGGCTATGACTCAACGAGTTGGTCTAGTTTTTTTTTTTTTTTAAATGACTTCGTTTTTTTTTATTAAATGTCTTGTAATGGAACTGTAATAACGATATAGGGTTTTTGCACTACTCAACAAACTTTGAACGTTTTTATTCAAAACTTTGTTTGGATGGTCCAAAAAAATGTGTAGGTAAGTGCATCGAACATTGTTAATATCATAGTTGTAAAGAAACTATTGGAATAATCAATAGCGTTGAATTTTAATTTTAAAAATAATAAGCTACTATGGAACGGACGGTCATCATCGTCAGTACAAGATAACAAGCGTTTTCGTCATCGTTATTCTGATACACTCGCGTCGGATACACATAATATATATCTACCGACTACCATTAATAAAGGGTCGTCTGCAAAACGAATTTTATTGTAAAATGATGAAATTAGTTTTCGTCGGAATGCGTTTATTTTTTAATTTGCGCTCACACAAAATACGAAATATTCCGGGGGAATTTAAGGTCCGTAGGTTTATTATAATTTATAGTATTTACACATAAAATATACTATTTTATATTTTGATGAATCGTGACTACCCGATGGTTGGTAGTTCCGATATCATTATAATATTCTATCGCACGTGCGAGGCAGGTAATTACATCAGAAGTACCTACTTATATTTCTATTATATACTCACCCGGTATCGATGAGATCGTATACATTTTTATCGTTGTTTCGAAATGTCACACAGCATAGACTTCGGCAGGATGAGAAAGCGGAAAAACAGTATACACTGACGAAAACGATCTGAAATGACAATAATGATGTTTGGAATCGCTCGCGGGGATGACGCGCGGAGCACGAAAATAAACACAAGACACGACTGCCGGCACTCGGGATGAAATCCGGAGAAACGAATCGCAATAACACAAAAAACAATCGAGTCGACCGGGCGAGAGGATAGATTCTAAATTATACTATAATGATATTAATATATTATTATAATATGTCTAAAAAAAAAATCCCTAAAATCGTCACCGCTGTACGGCAGTCGCGCACTGTTTACGCGTGCGTGCGTATATAATTTTCCCGAAACGCGAAAAAGCGACTCGCGCACTGACGGTGAACGCACGACTGACATGCGTGGGGTGTTCCGATGTTCGTCGCTGGCGAAACCCGTGGAGGTGGTCCGTCGTAGTACTATTTTGCACACACTCGATGCTTAGCCCCCTATAATAATTCTCAAGACTCCCCCCTCTCCCCTCAAAAAAAATAAATATTCCTCGGTTGACGAATGCTATTATTTTGCGGTGTTTAATCGTCTGTCGTTTTATAATTATTTATGCGAATTGGTTTCCGTTTGTTCTAATTTTGGAGCCAATACTTTTCGTTTTTGGCCCAACTCGTCTTAATAATCAGGAAGTAAAAAGTTTTATTTTAATGATCGTAGATATTTCATAAAAAAAAAATGAAACAGATAGATATTTCTGATATAATGAATTTATTTCTGACAATAATCTAAAATTAACTCGTATGATTCTGCGTAAAACCGTAGGTATACCTACGCAATGTTTGACGTGATGATTTATTTTTTTTTTTTAATCGTAATTTTTAAACTACCTACTTAGACTTTTTACGATTTCCCGTCCGGCCACGAAATAATCACACTGGATCTAAGATAAATAACTCGGTCAAAAGTTTAAATTTAGAGGCCACTCTAGGTCATAACTATTTTTCTTTTCCTTCAATAAAACATACAAAAAAAAAAAATCAATAATAATTTTGATGCATCAGGAATTCAAGCCTAGTAAGTTTACACATGAGTACATTATACATAGGAACACTCAATGTTGACCATATATTTTAAATTTAAATTCAAGGATCAATGAAATTCACTATTTACAATATTGTTGCAATTTTAATTTGATATCAGGAGGTGCTATTCATTCCATTTAATCTTTTAAATTGTTTTAATGACAGAAGTATATAACCTCATAATATTATTTAAACATACAATTATACCAGCGTCAAGTAGCATGCTCTGTTATCTATTAAAACGTCGCTCATCAATGATATCTGTGACATATTATACTTATACAGGTAAATACCGGCAAACGGTGCAATATGGAAGGGTTTCGATGTCAATAATATTAAACATCCAATATAATTTAACGAAGATTGAAATAAAATATGAATTATATAAATTATTTTACTTTACCGATGACCTGGTAGCAATAGACAATATATGCGGAGCAAGCTATGTAACGAGACAGGTTTAGCTAACTTACCTATATAGAACATCGAAATAATAAATATTTACACCTTATGTATTAATGGCGGGATCCCGTGATAATACAGAACGAATGAAAGATGACACAAGTGTTAAGGATGGTTATGTATATTATAACAATTAAATATAAATACTGTAATGGTTTTTCACACCATTGGGCCAGTGGTTGTAAGTGTTTCAGAGAGAGAGGGGGGGGGGCTAGAAAATGTATTGTTTACAATTTGATCGAAAAAATTTGTTGGTAATAAACTAATAATATAATTATTTTTTCAATTTCCTAAGAATTAGTAAATTACTAAATTAAAAAAAAAAGAACGAAATAAATTTATATTTATTGTACTCAGATTTTACGTTAGGTTTTATTTTTCTTAAAACTAAATATTTTTTTTAAAAATGCATAGCATTCAAATAATGTAAGCAATTTCAACTCGATCATGAAGTATACTGAGTAAAGACTACTACAATAACAGACAAACATTTTTCCTGAACACGCCACTCGAAATTTTGCTTATTATTTTTCTTAAACTTTATTCAACACAAGGTACCTATAATACTGATTTTAAGAATAAAATAGCCAACGGCTATTAAATCCACGGCTGACGACCGCCAGACTGTGATAATTACAACAGAAAATAACAATAATAATATAGGCAATAATTAACCTGTACATGTAACGCAACGGAAAAAAAATCACTCAACTCATCGATACACGACGACGACCGGTTTTCGCCATGTTACGTTATAAAATATAACACACGTGCGGTTTTTTTTTTTTTTTTTAGTTATTTATCTCCTTATCCGTTTTCGACAGCAAATCACGTCCCTGAAGACCTGTGAAAGAATATTAATATAATAATATATATTTTATTAGTTTATTACATCATAATAATATCACATTTTATAATAGGTAATCGCAAGACACCACAGCCCAAGCCTATTTTTTTATAATTGACATAGGTAACATCGTGTTTTCCGAGTGACTTTTTTTGTCTCTCGCACAGCTCAGCGGACGAACAATATTATTACATCAGGACTCGATGCATCTTCTCGTACGGCAAACTGATTATAATAATACAATATTATTACGGTTGGTAGTGTTATAATATTATTATATATGATTCTTACAATGTCATACTACGTTTTAGGCGTGAGCGTCTTTTAAAAATAATTATCTTAAAGCCTGATATGGCCAACTAACAGTGTTAGCGGGTAGGTTATAATTTATAAACACGAGACTTTGTTTTCACTAAATGTAATCTGTTGTTTTCGTTTCGAATGAAACGCATCCAAGGAAAAAAAAATAATACATTATTTGCCAAATGCAATTATTATATTTTGTTCCTGATGTGTCATCATGCATAGTGAAGTGCAAAGTATGTACATACATATCATTGGTATGCATTGGTATTAATTCTGATATAAAATTAAAGATCGTGAATTGTTTGATTAAAGTTTTAGTAATATATATTATACAAGCGTGGAACTTACACTAGCTATACAATTCGAGAAATTTGAATACACGAAAACCTTAAACAATTTAATTGTTAACAGCTATTGTTGTCGTGTATACAAGCCATTTGTAGTTAATACAATTACAAATAACATTTTGAATAAGAATACTTGTGAAAAGAATATTAATAAAAAGAAAAGTTACATTTAAATAGAACTTCTATAATTAGGAGTAAGATTCGTATAGGTGTGTTACTATATTATTATGATTTGGCACTCGGGCAAGAAGGTAGAAAATATTCGCCTCCACTGGGCCTACAATTACTTACAATTACTAATTTCTAATAAACTAATAAACTAAAATATTATTTGAATTATTTATATTTAGAAATAATTTACTAAGTATTTATCTACAAAACATAACAATATGGTAAACATACACATACAAAATAATATTAATACATCTATAATAATATGGTAAAAATACAAAATTTGAATTTTAGCTCATCATCTTGAGTTAAATGACTACAAACTTAAAAGTTTATAATTTTAAATTGTTGTAACTTAATTTTCAATAGATAACATTGACGCATTGTTTAATTATTATATTTCGGATCGTTAATACATTTTGACTAATTTCAGTTCACTAAACGAACGTTCTCTAGTTGCAATAGTAACATTGGAATATTGAGATACAGACTAAATGCAATTACCAAAATTTGGAGATTATGTTGAATCAAGTTCCAAAGTTTTAATTGCATTTAATAAATATAACTAAGATAAAAACTATTTTTAACATTGAACCTGATGTTTAAAACTTTATAACATTATATTTCATTAATTATTTCATAATCAACTTTACTGTATTTTATTGCTAAGTCGGAATCGTGTTTTATGGCATCACAGATTATGGAAATTAAAAATCATTAGAAATAATTGTAGACGATTAAATCAAATTTGGATTTAATTTTAAGGACTAAATTAAACAGAACTTCGAAGTATTATAATGTTAATTATTGATCTGCAGAAGTATCTTTATCTGGATAATTATCACTTTTCTAAACTAATTTTTTTTCTGATTTGATTGAATTCAGATTTTAACCCATATTTTCACAATTATTGCGTTTTAATCAATATTGTTCTATAACGTTATTCCGCATTTTATATATTAAATATATTTAATGAGATCAACATCCTTATCGCCTGATCTACTGAAATATTTGAACATTGTAATGCTTTATTGTAATGCGATATTAATTGATTATTGAATATTTTATCCTGCATTTATAAAGAGAATACAACTTTTAAATCGAATTGTTGTAATATACTTTCTGTACCTGCTACTTCATTGTGGACGTTTGGATATTACTCGTAAGTCTTAAGATATTAGGCACTTCCGAATTCATAATATAACGAATAAAGTATACTGTATTTGAAAACCCATCATCGTGTAATGTCACTGTGATGTTTAAAAATGTTTAATCCATTGGAATTGTTCAATGATTTGTTTGCCCCACAGAAATAATTAAAAATATCTTGTACAATTTCAAAAAACGTAATAGTTATACATTTTGAATAGGTAGTTATGACACTTTAGCTATGAAAATAAATTAAAACGAGACTGACAGACAGCACATGGATAAATGGATTAAATTGGGTATGTTAATTAATTTTTAGTATTCAACGCTAGTCATTGTACTCGTTTTATACGGATCATGTGAAACAGTCATAATATATATATATTTTTTTTTAAATTTAAAGTCATGTCTATAATATATTTTGAATACACTTTTTAGTGCCCCCCCCCCCTAAATATGTATGGTTGGGGAACATGTCCCCGTGACCCCCCTTTACGCACGCCTGGTTATGATTTTATTAAGTTGAAAATAAATGCACCTATGTGTAACCCAACAAGTTGCTGTATATACATACGATATACCTACACAAATATGTACATTCCTATGGATTTTGACCATTAAATTATTAATCTATTATTTAAGTTGTGTCAACAATTTTGATAATACCTTCCATTCAAAACAGGAACTCTTCAGATTATCTGGATATTACTTGGGAAAAATGTTTTGAATTTTACATTTAAGTAATATTTATAATTAAAATACCTTTTATTATCTTCTAACAGTAACATGTTGATTAACTTAACCTAAGTATTCAAATCTATCAAGTAATAAATCAAACGTTCAAAAGTAAATATCACGTCAAAAGCAATTATTTATTAAATATTAATTTATTGATTTACCTTTTTGTAAGCCGTATAATTCAAGAATGTCCAATGGTCATTGTTCATATTTATATCGATGGTTATTTTATTTTAATCGAAATCAAGTTAAGGAAAAAAAGGGTCAGTCTGTAAATGGTTATGTTGTTCGATGGACTGAAGAATTATTTAAAAAAAACTTGTCAC